CTCCCATATTCAGCCCCTGTCTGTTCTGTCACCCAGGTGTTTCTTCCAGCTCACCACCACACCACCATTTCTCACCTGTACTACTGGAATAGTCCCTCACGGATCTCCTTGCCTTCACTCTCTTTCTTTCTTTAATCGCTTTATTGAGATATAATTCACATATCATACAATTCACCCATTTAAAGTGTACAATTCAGTGGTTTTTAGTATATTCACAGATATATACAACCACAGTCAATTTTAGACCATTTTTTATCATCTCAAAAGAAATCCATGTCTTTTAGCTCTTGCCTGCTATCCCCCATCTTCCTCTCATCCCTAAGCAGCCACTAATCTACTTTCTATCTCTATAGAGTTGCCTCTTCTGGACATTTCATATAAATGAAATACAAATATAATGTGTAATCATTTGTGACTGGCTTCTTTCACTTAGCATGGAATTTTCAAGGTTCATGCATGTTATAGTGTGTATCAATACTTCATTCCCTTTTAATGGCTGACTATACCACATTTTGTTTATCCATTCATCAATTGATAGACATTTGGGTTATTTCCACTTTTTGACATCATGAATAGTGCTGCTATAAACATTTGTGGACAAATATTTGTGTGGACACATGTTTTCATTTCTCTTGGTTATACATATACCTAAGAGTGGAATTGCTGGGTCTTATGGGAACTCTGTGTTTAATTGAGGAATGCCAGACTGTTTTCCAAACAGGTTGCACAATTTTATGATCCCACTAGCAGTGTATAAGGCTTCTGATTTCTCCTTCTAACATTTGTTATTATCTGACTTTTTTATTATAGCCATCCTAGTGCGTGTGAAGTTGTATCTCCTTTTGATTTTGATTTGCATTCCCCTGACAGCTAATCATGCCGAATGAACATCTTTTCATGCACTTATTGGCCATTTGTATATCTTTGGAGAAAGATTTATTCAGATCCTTTGCTCATTTAAAAATTGGGTTATTTGGCTCTTTATTATTGAGCTGTAAGACTTCTTTATGTATTCTAGATACAAGTCCCTTATCAGATATGTGATTTACAAATATTTTCTCCCATTCTGTGTGTTGTCTTTTCACCTTCTCGATAGTGCCCTTTGATGCACTAAAATTTTCAATGTCGATGAAATCTAATTTATCTGTTTTTTATTTTGTTACTTGTACTTTGGTGTCATATCTAAGAATCCATTACCAAATCTGAAGTGATGAAAATTTACCCCTATGTTTTTTTTAAGGGCTTTATCATTTTTGACCTTACATTTAAGCCTTTCATCCTAATTTTGAGTTAATTTTGTATTTAGTGTTTGGGTAGAGATCCAACTTCATTCTTTCGCATGTGGCTATTCAGTTGTTCTAGTGTAATTTGTTGAAGACTGTTCTTTCCCCATTGAATGGTCTTGGCACCTTTGTTGAAAATTAGTTGACCACAGACACATGGTTAATTTCTGGACTCTCAACTCTATCCTATTGATTTAGCTATCCTTATGTCAGTACCACACTACTTTGGTTTTTGTTGCTTTGTAATTAATTTTGAAATTGGGAAGTGTGAATTCACAAACTTTGTTATTCTTTTTCAAGATCATTTTGGATATTCTAGGTCCCTTGCAATTCCATATGGATTTTAGAATCAGCTTGTCAATTTCTACAAAGTGTCCACCTGAGGTTCTGATAGGGATTTCATTGAATCTGTAGATCAATTTGGGAAGTATGATCATCTTAATAAGTCTTCCAATTCATGAACATGCGATGCTTTTCCATTTATTTAGTTCTGCTTTAATTTCTTTCAATGATGTTTTGTAGTTTTCAGAGTATAAGTTTTGCAATTTTTGTTAAATTTATTCCTAAGTATTTTATTCTTTTTAATGCTATTATAAGTAGAAGAAAACTGTTTTTTGAATGTTGATCTTGTGTTCTGCAACCTTGCTGAATTTATTTATTAGCTCTAATACTTTTTTAGTGGATTCCTTAGGATTTTGTGTACACACAATCATGTTCTCTGCAAACAGAGATAGTTTTACTTCTTCCTTTCCAGTCTTGGTACTGTTTTCTTTTCTTGCCCAAGTGCCCCGGCTAGAAACTCCAGTACAGTGTTGAATAGAAGTGGGGAGAGCAGGCATCCTTGTCTTGTTTCTGATTTTAGGGTAAAAGCATTCACTTTTTCACACTAAGTATGATGTTCGCTGTGGGTTTTTGTTAATGTCCTGTATCAGGTCAATGAAGTTTCCTTCTATTCCTTGTTTGTTTAATCATGAAAGGGTGTTGGATTTTGTAAAATGCTTTTTTTTGGTGTCTATTGAGATGATTATATAGTTTTTGTTTACTTTTGCTATTGCTTTGTATTACATTCATTAACTTTTGGACGTTAAACCAACCTTGCATTCCTGGGATAAACTCCACTTGATTATGGTATATAATCCTTTTTATATGCTGCTAGATCCTGTTTAATAGTATTTTCTTGAGAATTTTTGTGTGCATATTCGTAAGATATATTGATCTGCAGTTTTCTTATTATGTCTTTGTGTGCTCCAAGTATCAGGGTAATATTGACCTCACAGAATAAACTAACTATTCTCTCCTATGATTTGAAAGAGTTTGTGAAGAATTTATATTTACTCTTATTTAAATGTTTGGGGCCGGCCGAGTGGCTCATTGGTTAAGAGTTGACTTGGGAGTGCGAGCTCTGAGCAGCAGGGCCGCCAGTTCGGATCCCACATGGGTGAGTGATGCTGCGCCCTCTACAGCTAAGATGGTGAACAATATCTTGACCTGGAGCTGGGCTGCTGTGAGTGGCCGGCAACGGCGTAGGCTGCAGTGGGGCTGCCGTAAGCTACCGTGAGTGGTCGGCAGCCAACGCAAGTGGCCGGCAGCCGGCGTGAGCTGCCATGAGCCACCGTGAGTGGCCGTCCAATTGCCGGTGACCCAATCAGCCTCAACCGTGATGAGTGCAATGATCACAATACCAACATGGGCCAGTGAAGTGACGTCCTCCACAACTAGACTGAAGAACAAAAGGACAGCAACTTGTCTGTTCCCCTTCCCTGATTTCCCAATGCTGTTCCCTCTCCCCAATTCCCCAATAAAATCTTTAAATAAATAGTTTGATAAACTTCACCAGTGAAGCCATCTGGGCATGGATTTTTTTTGTTGTTAGTTTTGTTTTTTAATTACTAATATAATCTCTTTACTTGTTATAAGTCTATTCAGATTGCCTATTTTTTTCTTTAGTCAATTTTGGTAGTCCCTTTCTTTCTAGGAATGTGTCCATTTCATCTGAGGTGTGTAATTTATGGGCATACTCCTCACCTTCACTCTTGCTCGTCTATAATCCATTCTCCACACAGTAGTCACAGTGATCTTTTAAAAATGCAAATCTGATAATGACACACCCCTGCGCCCAGCTCTTCCATGGCTGCTCTCTGCCTTACGATAAAGATCCGTTCCTTAATGCTGCCTATCAAGTCCAGCATGAGCTGGGTTCATTACCCTCACAGAGCTGTGTTGTCCCTTTGTTCCAGACACATGGAACTCTTTGCAGCTCCTGAACATACCACATGTCACAGGTGCTGTTTCCTCTGCCAGGAGCGTTTCCCCTGGCAAGCCCCCACTTCTTCATGGCCTGGATTAAAATGTCACTTTCTCTGGAAAAGCTTCTTGACTCCATCTCCTTTCTATGTGTCACCCAGGTCCTCTCCCTCTCTTACAGCATACACTTCTATTTTATTATTTGTTTACATGTTTGTCATCTCACAGGGGCATCTTTGTTTATATATTGGTCCCCATGAGGGACAACTTTTTAATCCCCACATCTTGGACTTGGCAATATCCCTGTAGTGGATCTGAAATGACATTTCATTTTAGCAAATCCCGTCTCCCTCATCCTGTACAGCCTCCCATTTATTCCCGTTAATTTCTTCTTAAATTCAGCCCCACACATCAATCATTCAAGTCTTGTTGGAATACAGATTTTGATAACTACCACCCCTACCCCTGCTCCCACCCAACTTCCTGCATTTGTATGTAATATTTGCAGACGCTTACTGAGCACTTTCTATGTACCAGGCCCAGTGCTGTGAAAAATGTACCTGTGTGATCTCATTTAGTGCTAACAACAGTAAGGTAGCTATTACTATCCCCATTTTTCAGAGAAGTTCAGTGACTTGACCAAGGTCACACAGATAGTAAATGATATAGCAGGGACTTGGACATGGATCTGTGTGATTGCAGAATGTGTGCTCTTAACTACAATGCCATACCATGTTATGTATTTTTTTATTCTATCTTATTCACTGAAAAAAAAAATCTGTGAAGCTAGCCAAGTGTTGTTTCCTAAGGACCAGTGGGAGAGAAATCAGAGGCCAGACTAAACCAAAGGATAGGCAAACTTAAAGGCCATGCAGCATGGGGTAGGACATAGGACTGGCTTTCAGGACAGAGGGCACCTCCCAGCACACCAGGAGACCCTGAGGAAGGCAAAGGAATCCTACCAGGCTGGCTGGAGGTGGGAGTGACCTCTGCCTTCCTCATTTGGTGCCCATAAGCTGGGCAATAAAGTGCCTACCAGGCCAAGAAAGGCCGCCTAGAAACTTAAGGAAAAGTGGGAGCTCAACACAGGCCAGATCGGTCTGGTGCTGATGTGTCAGTTTGAGCTGAGGCTGGGCTACAGCTGATCCTGGTATGGACTGTTTGGACACAGCAAAGAACGCTAGGCTGACAGCTACCTGGAGATATAGGGAGACATGTTGGTGATGGGGCTGGAGAGTGGGGAAGAGAGCAGAGGAAATCTGGACTTTTCATTATGACAGAGATGGGGTGGTGTAGAAGTAAAATGGGTCTTCCAGAACATCTCCCATGATAACGAGGCACCCCAACAGAGGGATTTTGCCTACAACGTTAACTAGGGACAGTGTTTCTTTGCCTGGTAAGTCCAGTTTCTCTGTCTCTGGTTTAACTCTTCCCTTCCCTAGGATTGGCCAGCAGTAAAAGGTAGACATTGGCTGGAGCTTCTCAAAGCATTTATTTTTTCTGATTACGAGGCTGAGAGTAGGGAGTAACTGAACAGGGCGTGTTAGTGGTGTGAGTGCTGGCTTGGGGGGAGGAGCAGAAGTAGAGGTTTGAGTGTGGGGAGGAGATGAGGAGCACGTGTGTGGAGCAGCTGGGCTAGAAGGAACGACGTGAAGGTAGCTGGAAGAGTAACTGCAGGAAGCATGGGAGCAACTGCCAAGGAGAAAGACCCAGTTCCCCATAACCCGCCCCATCCCTGAATCCCCTCTTTTCTTCCTTAAGTTAAAAAAAATTCCTTGAGGCAGCTCAGGTCAGAGGCTACAAGGATCAGAAGTCACAGACTGGAGAGCAGTTTGCTCTGGCCAGCAGAGCCTGGTTCTGGCTGGACGGCAGCTCAGGCCTCCTCAGCTGTAGCGTCGATGCCTGCGTAAGTGAAGTTCTCGAACAGCGACATGTTCACATAGGCCTGGGGAGCAGAGCAAGATTTAGTGGGGGCTGGGGAGGAGGGTAACTATGGCCTGGAGGTCCTTGACTTCCATGTGGTTGGGGTATCTGAAGAGACACTGATTTGTTCTGGAGGCTCAAGATGGCCCCATGGCCAAGGGGGACCCGCAGCGGCCCAGAACAGCACGGGCATTGGACCACAGTTGGAGGCTCAGGGGTGAGGCCCTTGACACAACTGTTACATAGGAGGTTTTACAGGCACTCATCCAATGACTTGTTTGTTTATTCATTCGTTCATTTACTTACTCATCTATTTATAAAGCTATTTTTGATGATTTATCCATTTATGTGGTTATTTGATCATTCCTTCATTCTTAAGATAGTTTACATTCCTATAGCCATTTAGTCATTAATTCATATGAACAACTCTTTTTGTATTTACAAATGTATAACATTTATTTTGATATATTTCTTCATTTGTGTTTATTTGATAACTCATTTATTCACATGGTTATTAGATTCAGTTATTTTATTTGTGTTTATTCATATGATTATATCATGTGATTATATCATCCATCCACTAATTCTATTCTATTCTATTCTATTCTATTCTATTCTATTCTATTCTATTCTATTCTATTCTATTCTATTCTATTCTATTCTTTCATTTACTCTACAATCCATCCATCCATCTATCCATCTATCCATCCATCCAGCCAGCCAGCCAGCCAGCCAGCCAGCCAGCCATCCATCCATTTGATTAGTTGACCATTCATACATTGCACTCTGGCTCTGTGCCAGGTGAGGAAAGATGTCCCTGATGGGAATGGGCTGATGGCCCCAGCAGAGGATAGGCAAGCAGTCTGGGACCTGGGACCTAGGACCTGGGGAGGGATTTCTGCTGGGGTTAGCAGTGGTCTTGGAAAAGTTTCGAAGGGCCTAATAATTTCTAACCCATCGAGAGCTGGAAAGGGGGGCTGCATCCTGGGGCCCGGCCTAGCTGTGGTGGCAACTAATGGTGGGGACAGGGACCCAGAGGTTGCTGCTGGCTCCTACAAGAGGGCAGTCCTGTGAGCCTAGGAAGCCCCAGCCCTCCAGTCTTCTCACCTTCCTGGCTTCCAACATTCGGCCCAGCTGCACCGCGATCTGGGCAAAGGGGGGTCGCTCATACGGACGGTCCCGCCAGCACTGCCGCATCAGCTCGTACCTGCAGACGGAGCATTGCTGAGATGAGGGGTCAGGGCCAACTGGGTTGATGGGGTCACAGGGTTCAAGGCTGAGGCAACTCACACTTCATCATCACAGTTCCGAGGCTGCTCCATGCGGTAGCCCTGAGGCAGCTTCTCATAGAGCTCGGCACAGGTCATGCCACAGTAGGGTGTGCCCCCTGCAGGAGGGGACACAGTTCTCTCAGCCCAGGGCCCCAGAGTGGGAAGGTGGGGGCACTCTGGGGAATAAAGGTCGGGGACTCACCAAGGCTCACAATCTCCCAGAGGAGGACCCCAAAGGACCAGCTGAAATGAGGAGGGTGCACTTAGTTACCTCTAAGCCCTAGGGCCCAGCAGGTAAGTGTCTGCCTACCCCAGGTGTGCAGCCCATCCCAGCCCCTGCATGTGTCTACTCTGCAAGTACCTGGCCTTGGCCAGCTGTTGTCTCTACTCCATTGAAATGCAGGCACTGATCATTTAATGTATACATTTAACCCCACACCAACCCTATGATATAGGTACTATCATTATCCCCATTTTATAGAAGCAGACACCGAGGCACGGAGAGGTTAGCTAGCTTACCCAGGGTCACACAGCTAGTAAGTGTGAGAGCTAGGATTCAAACCCTGGTAACCTGACTCCAAAGCCCTTGCTCTTAACTGCCACTTATACTGTAACCACCTCTGTGCATGTGAGAGTCAGGTGAGGCCAGGGTGGGAGTCCTAGCAGGGGGAGGGACTCTAGGGGGTTTGGGAGCAGAAGTGGGAGGTGAATGAGTGGGGGACAGTGAGCAGGGCAGGCCAGGCCAAAGGGCTTAGGGCAAGTAGGCAGAGCCAGGGCTGGAGGGCTGGGCAGGCTATGTTTCCCAGTGAGAGGGGCAGACATGTGCCAAGATGGTTGTGTGGGGGTGGGGAGCACAGAGAAGGAGTCTTGGGGGTCATGTTCTGGTTAGGTCCTCATGTGGGGATGACCCTGCCCTTTAGAGAGTAAGGGGAAAGCATTCCTTGAATGATCTCTCCATCTACCTGGGCACTATTCACCAGCATCCCCAGGCCCCTCCAAGGCATCCCCCAGTCTCTTAGACAAACCCCATCCTAAACTACCCCTACTTAAGTTCTACCCCTGAAATACCTTCTAAGATAAAACTTCCTTCCAGCTAGCTCCCCTACCTTCCTACTATGAGGCTAAGTATCACCAGGGTATGTCCAAGACACACCTGTGTCATACCTGGAACATACCCTAGGGACATCTAAGTCATGCCTTGGACCGCCTGAGGCATGTTTGAGACGTGTCCTGGTTATGCCTGTGTGCATTCTTGGGGGACCACGCCCTCCTGCCCTTCCCCATCCCCACTCACACATCACTCTTGGTGGTATAGACACTGTAGTTCAGAGACTCAATGGCCATCCAGCGCACGGGGAGACGCCCCTGGGAGAGAGTAGGTTTGAAGGGTTGGGTGAGAAGAAAGGGCCTGTGAGGGGATCTGGGGAGCAGGGACAGGCATGGAACCTGAGGGGGAGGACTGGGACTTACCATTGTCTTCTTCACATAAACTTCCTCCCCCCGAGAAAGGCCAAAGTCAGCAATCTTGGAGGCCAGATTCTCTCCGACCAGCACATTTCGGGCAGCCAGGTCCCTGTGGATGAACTGCAGGCATGGTCAGAAGTCAGGCAAGACTGGGGAGGTGTGAGCCCAGGACTCCTGGGCCAGGGAGGGGTCTGACCCCATGGCCAGTCCCAGTCTTCGTGGCCACCCTCCATGCCTTTAGTAGCCCCTTACTCTTTTTCTCACCCTCCCAGGCCTCCTCCTGGATCAGTGACTCCTGCCTGAGAAAAATCACAGTGCTGGCCGTCATCCCTTCCTTGCTGTGATCTGACCATGGCCAAGCTCAGGCGTATCCCTCTTCCTGGGAAAATGGTGGGCTTTTCCCTGGTGACCTCATTGCACCGTCCCCTCTTTGCATGCTCCCTACCCCCTTCTCTCCCACCTCTCCTCTCCCCTCATCGATGAGAGTGGGGAAGGCCCTTCTCTTGCCCGGAGTGACTCTTTCTCTTGAGTTCCAAGTTCTTCCTACTTGGCCCTCCACTTTCCTCAGAGACCTCTTTCCATCAACCCTTCCTTCTGCACTGCCCACCTCCCCCACCCCCAACCCCTGGCTTTTAAAAATACTCAAAACTTGACTGCTTTTAAAATGCCTTCCCTCAGTCTCATGTTCCCCTCCTGCTGCTGTCCCTCTCGCCTTTCACTCAAGCGGGGTGTCTTTGGACTTGGACTCGGGCCTCTACTCTCTGCTCCTCCTTTACCCTCTCCTGGTGGGTCTTACCCACTCCCTCACCATTGGCGTCATCATCTGTAGGGTGACAGCTTCCAGATTGTTGTTTCCAGAACTCTCTCCTGAGTTCTAGGCTAGCATCTACAACTGTTAACTCTACACATCCACCAAGATGTCCCTCAGATGCTTCAAACACAATACCTCCTCCAGACCTGCTTCTTGTCCTGTGCTCTCCCCGGCTCACCCAAGCCCAGCACCTCAGGGTCATGTCCCTCACTCGATTCCTCAATCCCACATCCGATTAGAGCCTGCTGGTTTTTTCTCTTGAGGTCAGCCCCGTGGCCTCCCCTCTTCCCTCTAGCACACCTTCCTTCCATGCACTCACACACCTGCACACACCCACCTGCTTTTCACTCAGGTACTGCATGCCATTGGCAGCATCACTGGCAAAACGCAGCAGCTGCCGGGAGCTGAGGGTAGAGGCCGTTCCATGTTCTCGGGCAAAAGCTGGGTCTGTTTCCAGGACCCGGCTCTTCCGCAGAAAATCTAGCAGGTTCCCATAGGGGGCATATTCAATAGCGATATACAAGTAACCTGGGAGGTGGGGAGATACATGGTGGTGGTTTATATATAAGGCAACCTGATAGCAGCAGGTACCCAATGGCAGTAGACAGGGAGCCTGAAGCATGAAGGAGAATCAATAGTGCTGTTTAGCTAACCTGAAGCTCCCAGCGAGCTACGGATGTGGAGGAGGTGATGGCTGATGATAGGGGTTTCAAAGAAGGGGTAGGTGATGAGTTGGGGGCTCACCTCGGTTCTCACAGGCTCCCAAGAGGTTGATGATATTGGGGTGATGCCCCAATTTGCACAGAACTTCCAGTTCTCCCGCAAAGTCACGATGGTCATTTTCAGAGGCATACTCTGTGTAAAGAATTCAGTATCACTTTTGCCAGAAATAATTCTGGAGAAAGGGCATGGGCTGGTAAGGGCTGGGGTCAGTTACTGGAGGGAGCCAGGTGGGGCTTGGTATCTGTGGGACAAAGGACAGGGTCAGGGGTTAGTCCCAGTGGACCTTTCAGCATCTTGATGGCTGCATTCATCTTGAGCCCGTCCTTCTTGATCATGGCCCGGATGACCTGGCCGAAGTTCCCCTCTCCGATGAGGTCCTCAAAGGTGATGTCCTCCCATTCCAGCACTGGGTAACTCAGGGACTCCGGCTGTGGTTTCGGTCGCCGGGTCAGTGTCAAGGTGCCTGAGCTGAACTGCAGGATGGTCTCCTCGCCCTTCACAGGATGGGACAAGTGGCAGAAAATCCACATAAGACTTGGTTTTGGGAAGCAGGAGGCCCAGATAGGCAGACAAAGAGTAGTTAGACAAATGGACAGACACCTAGACAAAGGCACCCTGGTGGTCAGCTGGGGACAGACATACAGATAGAGGGCACATACTGAGACAGAATCATAGGAGATGGAGCCGTGGATGGGCCGTCTGGTGGATAGATGTCCACAGATAGAGGCTGCAGCCTGGGGGTCAGGTGGGTGGGGCTATGGAAGAACAAGGAATGGGTAAAGTCGCTAAAAGCCAGGACATGAGTCAACGGGAGGATGATAATTCTAACATTTAAAACAGAAAAGAATTGGAATGAGCTGTGATGGGAAGTAGTGAACTGATCTTATAACCAGCTTCTTTGTCATCAGGGATGTTTTGGAGAGGATTCCAGAACATAGGCAGTGGGCTAGGGTTCGTTTATTGAGCACCTACTATATGCCAAGCCCAGAGCTGCTGGATGCCAGGGAAGGGGTTTTCTTCTCCACAGAAGAAGCAGAGATTCCCACTGTCCACTCACTGGACATCCATACATTGTTCTAAAACCATCTTGGGGCCTGAAGATAGAAAGACCTTAACAAAGAGGAATGTCCACTCCCCGCAGCTGAGTAGGAGCTGGGCCACCTGGGCAGGGCTAATGGAAGGAAAAGGAAACCACAGAACAGGACAAGGGAGCTGCCAATATGAGAACTGGACCAAGGGTTAAGACAGTCCTGATGGCGGGGCTCCCTAAGTGAGACGGAACCCAGCTTGATGGGGAAGGGCTGGGGACACGGGTCATACTGAAGACACATGCCAGCACGCACACATGTGTTCTAGTGATGGCACAGTATGCAGGTGCATCCCTGCAGAGGTCCACACAGACATGAGCGCATGGAGGAGCACACATAGAGGGAGATGTGAGTCAGGGACACAGGCACACACACGGGGGTTCCCACAGGGGGCGTGCACGTGCACGTGCACGCACACACAGCACACACATTCATGTGCACAGCTGCACGCAGGCACATGTAGCAGGTGCATATCTTGATATATGTTAGCATAATACATACGTTAAAGGCTGCTTCCCCACCTCCTTCCCTAACATTTGTACCCATTACCCTCCCCCCACCACAGCAGTGGTGGCTTTCTGTGTGCACTGACCACACAGGGAGGGCCAACCCAGCCTGAACAAAGAAGCCAATTGAATCTCTGAAGGGAGCTTTTAAAGGCATGGCAGAGACAATAGCTTTGGACGCTAGGCTTTCTATCACAAGAATCAGCCCTTGAGAGAAAAGAGGGTTTTTGTTTTTTTGGAAGGCCAAAGCTTTGTTGTAAGTATCAAGAGCCTGGATGTGGAGGACCAAGGACAGCGTTCATGTCATAAGGTGCAATAGTGGCGAAGATCTCAGAGGAGACAGGAGCAGCGGATAGGAGAGAGAGATGGGAGGAGGTGACAAGATGAGATCACAGCTGGGTCCTGGAAGATGAGCCAGCACCCCACCCCCACCTTTCAGTAAGTCGCTCCTGCAGGCTGGAGGGGCATGGACTACAAAAGGACAGATAACTCGGACAGGTTTGCAGGAGCGATGGGTGAGGCTGCAGGCCTAGTGCAGCTCTAGAGTGGTAGAAACAGCTGGATAAGGGGTTGTAGCAATGGGTCTGAGGGCCAGAGGATATGCTCCCCTTCCGAGGAGACAGGGAAGTACACCAGCGTACTTAAATCTCCCCAAGGAGGCCCTGGGATTTGCAAGGATGGAAGATGGGATAAGGAGCTCACAGAATGAGTGGTCTGTTGGCAGAAGGCCACAGAGGGGCTGAGACCCTCAGCCATAGAGGTATGCATAAGGAAGCTGGCTTTCAGGTGCTGGAGGGCCTGGGAGGACAGAGCCCAGCATGAAGCCCAGGCGCCTCTCGAGGATACCACCATGCTACCCAGGCTTAGATCACCCGCAGGGAGGATG